TCCTAATATCAAGAACTCTAAGTGTTTGCATCGACTCTGGTAGTGACTTCAAGTTGGAACAATTTTCAATACTCAAAAATTCCAAAGTGTTTGTGGAACACTGAATAAGCCATTGCGGGAATTCCACCAATTGTGGTAATTCTCTTATAAGAAGAAATCGAAGGTGAGGCCTTGTGCTATTGAGTTCTTCATGATTGTCTTGCTTATCCGATCCGATGCTCAAATCAAGATTAAGCCTTTCACAACCGAGCAAACGAAGATCTTCTAATGAGCTTAGGCTTCTCACACCACGCGGTAATGAGATAAGTCTTGGACATTCATAAATCACTAGAGTTTGAAGAACTCTTAGGTGACCAATATCTTCAAACAAATATTCTAAATTATTGCAGTTGTAAATCCCCAAACATCGAAGAGAAATCAAGCAACCAATACCATTGGTTGGTAGATGCTTTTGTATCGTAGTTAACAAGAGATGTCTAAGACTAATTAAGTACTTTACATCTCTTGTTAAGGCTTTTAATTCCCCACAAGCCCATAGTGATAGATATTGCAAATTTTGCAGCTTGTAAATGGACCTTGGAAGTTCTTTTATTTTAGGGTTCTTTCCTAGATGAAGAGCTCTCAAATGCTTCAAATTACCAATTTTTTTAGGCACTGCTTCAATATTCAAAGAAAATAAATCTAACATCCGCAAGAATTTGCACCTTGAGACAATTAATTCCAAAAATGATTGGCTAATACCAGTACTTTCACCCGTAATTGGACAAAAAGTAATGCTTCTCAGATGACCCAAGTTAGGTAAAATGTTTGGAACATCAATTATAGGTGCATCAACAAAATGAAATGATAAGTGTCGATGACTTTTGGTACAAATTTGGTTAGTGGATTTCAATATTAAGCGCTCATTTCTCATCAATGATGTGGCAAGATCATGCATGAGATCATGGATTTTAAACGTGTACAAATTCTCGTAAAGTTGTACAATATCTTGAAAAAAAGATCTCAACATTAATTCTTTTATATATTGTTTACCAATATTTTCCAAATCTTGATTTTCATTGTGGGATTGAAGAAGCCCATGGACCATCCAAAACTGAACCAAATGATTACTAGTAAATTCAATGTCTTTTGGGAAAATGGAACAATAAATAAAACATTGCTTTAAGTGAGGTGGCAGATGATTATAACTTATTCTTAGAGCATTTAAAATGTCATTTTCTTTTTGATCCAACTTCCAAATCTCATTATCCCTCAAATTTTTCCAATCTTGTTCAGAAATTGAGGAATAAAGTAGACTTCCTAACGCTCTTACTGCCAATGGAACACCTCCACATTTTTTTACTATTTCTTTTCCAATTTCCACAAGGCTGGGATGCTGCTTTTCTTTCCCTTCTTTAAATGCACATTTAACAAACACTGACAAGCAATCATCAAGAGAAAGACCTTCTAACCTGTATGTAAGTACAGTGCCCATAATTGAGGCAACACGATCACTACGTGTAGTTATGATAATTTTACTTTCACTAACACATTCCATCAATAAATTTTTTAATTCAAACCACAACCCATAATCTTCATTCCAAACATCATCCAAAACTAACAAATATTTTTCATGGCTTAAGAAATCACGTAGGATTATTTGCAATTGGTCAGTGCTCTTATCAACATATTTTTTCCCAGTTGCAGATTCGATGATGTCAATTAATAGTTTTTTTAAAACAAACTCATCTGACACACAAATCCACATTTTCAACTTAAAAAATTTGTCAACCATTTTATCATTATACACCAATTTCGCAAGTGTAGTTTTTCCTAGACCTCCTATGCCAACAATAGGAATGACGGAAACATTTTCATGGCCATCACTTGGACGTAATAGTAGTTTCATAATCTTCTCTTTATCTTTATCCCTACCAATAACATCTGAAGCACGCACAAATGAGTGAGTTTCCCTCTCCCTCTCCCAATCTATAGCTTGATTGCTATCAACTTTCTCAGTGAGATTAAAATTATCCTTATCAGCTGCTATTTTTGCTAACCTCTCTTTAATCTTCTTGATTTTATGCCCCAACGTAAAACGGAAAGCAACTGGGTTTGAGGATGAAAAAAAGTGGCGTACCTGTCTTGTACTGCTCTGACTATTCACCACTTGTTTACGCAAATCTTCCACCTCAATCTCGTCTAAAACATCTTCGGCATCGTAGCAGAACTCTTTAAGCTTTCCTAGCCAAACTTTGAGCTTTTCATTATGGATCTGCTTGTCCTCAGCATCTAAGAGAACAGCTTTGATAGTGATTAAGGTGTCAACAAGCTCTTGTGCATCTTTTTGGACACCCCATGCAAAGCTCATTTCATTGGAAGCAAGGGATGATAGCTTATCCAAGAGTACCTTAGCAACAACAGAGACGATTGTTTCTGCCATATCTTTTGAAAGAAAAGAAAGTTGCCGAATTTTGTGTTTGTGAAGTGGTGAAGTTGAATTGTTATATGAAATAACGATAAGCAAGCATATGCACTTCATATATATTATCTTCTTCTTTGTTGAATTAATTACATCATTTGCTTTGACACGCAGAAAATTCCCGGCACATCACATTCTGCAACTTGCAAGCCTGATTAGTTGTATAAAACCAATAGGAATCGAACACGTATGCCTAAGATAAGGTAGGACACGTGGCAGCAACTAGATCACTAACCTGATTATAGTTAAAAATGCACTTGGCCACATTGGGTTCTACGCCTGACTCTTCAACCATTGACGTGTTTCCTCAACAAAACTGTGGGGTCATCACTTTTCAGGTCTTGATGGGCTCTTTTTGTAATGATATGATGACATCACCATTTTGGGATTAATGAATGAAATTTACTTTTTAATTGTCTTCCATATAAGTTAATAAATAGAAAAGATATAACAAGGCAGTGTACTGAATTCATGTATCGAATAACGTAATAAAATCTTAATCGTTGATTGATATTAAATTAAAATTAATCAACGATCATGATTTTATCACGTTATTCAGTACATAAATCCAGTACACTACTACAATGACGGTAGCATTACTCTTTAATAAATTAATTGTATTGAAATAATATTATACTTATATTATAGGTCTATGAAACAATTTAATTATTCAAGTGAGAATTTTCAATAAAAAGGGTTAACTTTTTAGTAAAAATTTAGATATAAACATAATAGAGTAAGTATAAGTTACAAAATTATTAGATTCTTCATATCTTTTTATGAAATCGGGAGATAAACTCATATTATTTATATAGTGATTTATCTACATAGCAATTCAAATATTGTTGCTTTAATACGATGCCCCATAACCTTTTTAGTTAGTTTTTAATTTAGAGGTGGGCAATAATCGGGCCCAATCAGTCCGATCATAAATTGGGATCAGGTCTATCTTGGTTAGGACCAGTTCTAAGCTCATAAATTTTTTCATGGCCCGGACCAATCCTTATGATCAATCATGGGCCCATAAGACCAGTCCTATGGGCTTGAAAAATTTCAATATGTCCCTTTAATACATAAAATTTCATTTTAGTCTCTATATTTATTCAATTTGAGAACACTTAACAATGAATTATTGTTACACTTTCAATATTTAAGGTAAGTAATTAAGAAAGAAAGTATGTTAACAGATAACTAACATAAATTTATCCACAACATTATGGACATAAATACATACGTATACACATACATAAAACTTATATCATGATTTCCTTCAATAATCTTAAATATACTAATATTAAGTGTCCACCCTTCAACTTAAGTTTCCAATTTGTGATATTAAAACAAATATTTGAATCTCTTATATATATCATTTTCATCGATTTCAAATAAATTTTATTTATCAAAAATTATAGAAATTTGTCTTCTAGAATTTACTAGGTAAATAGAAATCCAAATTAAAAAAAAAAAAAAAAAAAAAAATTACAAACTTCTACAACAAAATATGGGGTCTTAACATTTTTTTAACCTTTGGAAAAGTGACAGTTTAGTCCCAAGAGTTAACACCCAATGAAGACCTTTAGTCCCAAGAGCTAACATTTTTGTGGTTTGTTCAGGCTCCAACCTTTGCTCTCCAACCGTGCAGAGCATTCTTATTGCATGGAAAACTTCTTTGAAGACAATTTCATCTGAGAATATTACTGACAATTTACATCTCAACTACCAACACCCTATAATCTACTCATCGCCGGCCAGAATTTCAACAACTATTTTGTTTTTCTTTTTAATAAGGGAAAGTTAGATTCTGAAACTAATAAGGATGGAATAGTTCTTTCATGAAACATAATGTGAGAAAATGTATTCATCCTCTTTTTTTTTTTTTTTTTGGGGGGGGGGGGGGGGGGGGGGGGGGTGTGAATCATACAATTAAACATTGATCTATTAATTTTGTAGGGCCTACATTATATTTTACAATCTAATGAATTATGTTAGATAAAAAAATTAAGTTTAAAAAAAAAAAAAAATTTAACATGTAAAGGATTTGTAGAGAATAAATTAAAATATGATTTGAAATTTTAACAATTGCAGACAGGCTTATAGAATTTAAAATTAGCTTTTTTTTTTTTTTAGTTTATTTAAAGCGTTAAAAATTTTAAAAATATCATTTTTTTTCTTTATAATATTCTATAAATATGACTTGATATATTCTTGCATATTAGATCCCTTTTTGGTAAATTAATACGAGAACACACCTCTAAAATTTTCTCAATCAAACAACTATTAACATTTTCATATTAGTTATATTTTCGCTCTACTTCAATAAACTTCTATTCTATAATCTTCACTCAAGTAAGCTTCTTCTAAAAGCTTCTATATTTTCATAAGCCGTACCAAACAAACCTCTTTATCAAATGAAAAGGAAAGAGACAGAATGAAAGGGACAAGACGAAAATACTAATATAAAAAGGATTTAATAAATTAATTAAACGAAACACTAATCAAAGTTTTCAATATTTTCTGAAAGCATTGAATGACGACAGAATTAAATGACCTCAAGAATCATATGAAATTGCTATATTTTCCCATATCCATAAGTTTTAATTAAAGCTAACTCCAGTTGACATATAAAAAGAACAAGAAATATGGTAAAATTTTCTCTTTACATCTAGCAGGATGCTCTTCAAATTCATCGTCGAATATTGTCAGTATACAACTATAGCTTCACACCATTATAAGTTCTACAATAGTTTCGACTTTGAAAATGCTGCCAACATCAATAAGTTGAATAGTTTTGCATGGTTTATAGTTGGCAGAAGGAGCAATACTATTCACTTGATTTCAGTGAGTCAAGAAATTTCTCACCTCCCCTCTGCAATTATCTCACTGCACCGAGTGACGTTTACAGGAGTGAGCAGTGGGTCGACTCCAGAACTAAGATCAGTTGCATTCTCAGATTGGCTATTCTTTTTGCTATAACTTCTTGCAGATGTGGATGTATCAAAATCTTCGTTAAGAAAGCAGTTTGTCGTATCCTGAAAATCCCAATCAGTCAAATAACTTGGCTTTGAAGTAACAGTTCCCACTTCTATGTCTCCAGTGAGCATGCTAAGAACGCGTGACATTGGTGGCCGTAATGCTGGTGATGCTTGTGTGCACAACAGAGCCACTGCTATTACTCGAAGAGCTTCGATTTCATTAAGCTCTGTTAACTGGGGATCTATCAACCCCAAACTTCGGTTACTTTCATGAAGACTCCAGGCCTGGAAATAGCATATAGACAATTCAAAAGAAATGTGTTTTCTCAACTAGGGATCATAGAAGAAAGCAAACAAAATTAACAACTCAAATTTCAAATTTATTTCCTTACCCATTCAAGAAGATAAATCTTTTCACTATCCAAGTTACTATCAGAGTTTGCTCTTCCACTGATAATCTCCAAAGCAACAACACCAAAACTGAACACATCGGCCTTTTCTGTCAAGTGTCCACGCATTGCATACTCCGGTGCCAGATAACCACTGCAAGATAATCAAGTGTTTCTCATGGTTAAAATCCAAAAGTCAAGTCTGGATATTGCTCTCAAACTGAATTTAATGATCAACCGTATCCCATGTGCCCACTCGCCTATACAATGTGAAAACCTTTAACATTTAGCTAAACTTGAAGAATAACAAAGCAATACAATCACAAATCTAGTCCCCTCCAAAGATTATAGCATCAATCACTATGTGACTATAAAAGATGACACAAATAGTTCTCTCAACATACATGTATTGCTCTCAGTCATTTTCATCAATACATGTATGTTGACATTTTGAAATACTCTACAACAAAATCTACTAGGTATTGTTGGTAACTTCCAAGACAGCATGTATAGAATACATCATATTATACTTTGCAGCACATCACAAGTATCAAGGAAGAGTGGCAGTCGAGAAATGATTGAAGGAGCTTACATGGTCCCTGCAACTCTTGTGCTGATGTGAGTTCTCGTGTCATCATACAACTTTGCCAAACCAAAATCTGATATCTTGGGGCAGAGTTTTGCATCGAGTAAAATATTACTTGCTTTGACATCTCGATGTACAATCTTTGGCCTTGAATCCTCGTGAAGATATGCTAGACCTCTCGCAGTTCCCAAGCATATATTGAACCGAGTAGGCCAATCAAGATGCAAATCCCTTTTTCCTGTAGAAACAGTGGCTACAATCATTTAGATCTTCAAGAGTTATTGATTTGGAGAATTGAGGATTTAGGAACAATGTATCCCAAGGAAAGATATAGTGCTCATTAATACATTGTGAATCCTGCTCTATTGAACTTGTTGCTTGCTCTTATTAGTTTGGCGAGCAAATTTTGTAGTTTCGGGCCTTCTTTAACAGAGCAGGACAAATGTTTCATTCTTTAACCTTAGATGGTTTAAACATTTGAAAACAATATTGTATTTTGTACAGCAAGATAAATCACAAGAGAGATATCATATCAATTGCATAAAAGTCGCAGCTACTTGCAAGAAAAGAAAAGTAGAAAATTTCTAAACTAAGGCTGATCTTCGTACCAAACAATACTTGATCAAGGCTTTTGTTTTCAAGGTATTCATAAACAAGGAGGAGCCTAGTTCCCTCGATGCAGCAACCATGCAATTTCACAAGATTGCGATGTTGTACTGCAGTTATGGTAGCAATCTCATTAACAAACTGATTTTTCCCTTGGTGGGATCCAAGTGAAAGTTGCTTCACAGCTATCACCCTTCCATCAGAAAGCGTACCCTGTAGCACCAGATTTAATAACGTAAGTCATGTTTGCTCCATCCTTGGTGAGTATCCAGGTAGAATTCACCTAGTTTTTTTGTTATAATGTCAAGCTATCTTCATACCTTACATACACTACACACTCAGTAACCCAAACTCCCAATAATTATCTATTGTTTCTTACTTGTAAATGTAGGATATAAAAGTTACCTTGTACACAGGTCCAAATCCTCCCTCACCTAGCTTATTTGGAGGGTTGAAGTTTTTTGTTGCAGATCTCAACTCAGCATAACTGAAAATTTTTGGTTTAGGACCTATTCCAAGTAACACTGCATATTGAAGCAAGATAAAAGATTACATAACATGGAAGGGTTTGCATGATAAGAGATGAATTACACCAGCAACTTTGCCTATTTCACGGAATATCCTATTCCAACTTTTGGAAGCAAGAGCTCAAATATCATGACCTTTATAACAAATAGTTATTTTAAATCTAGTATCTATGTTCTTAAGTGAACTAGAACAAAGTTCACGCTTCACCTATATTGTGGGATGCTAAAGTAAAACTAAATTCATTGATTTTCATAAACAAACTTGGTTTCACAGATTTTACCTTCTGCATCATCATTGCCTCTTTTTATCCTCATGTAAAAAATTAAAAATATCAGTATCAAGCCCAAAATTCCGAGAGCCATGGCAATACCAACAATCAGCCAAGTCTGGTTCTTCTTTCGTGCAATACCAACAGTTGGTATGAAATCTAAGTAGGAAAATTCAGTTATTGTATATCAGAATGAAGTATATAGAAGCACATCTATTGTAACTCATCTTCAATGAAGAGTCAAAGTAATCACATACTTCACCTGGAATAACACTAAGACCTGAAATTAATGGCCCATAGCTACCTCCAGTAGGGATGCAGCAGGTCCCTTTACCAGCCCAAAATAGGTGAATTTCAAGATAGTTCTCGGTTACCATAGCATTAAATTTCTCTGTAGTTGCTCTTCTATCCCCACCTGCCTTCTTTGATATGTCAAAATCCTTTGACCAGAGGGTTCCCTACAAGAAGGATTATGAGTGATAGAACTCCGACTTCTCAGTGTAAAAATGAATAGATGGACATGTAATAGTAGAATCAGTGTATGATAAGGTTATGAACCAAAATTTTCCAGAGAATTTTTACCTGAATATAGATATCAAAAACACGCCTTCCACGACTCTTCCATGTTAGTGAGCCTTGATCACCAAAAACTGTCTCAGCAAAGGACAAGCTCACATTGTAAGGTCCATTCTCAAGACTAAGTCCATAGTATCTAAGTGATCCAGGGGATTGCCTTGAAATGCGATAAAGCTCCGGGTTTGTGGTGCCAGTCACTTGAGAGCCAGTATTTTGAACATGGGTATTAGATTGTCCATCAGGAAACCAACCTGCATCACTAACTGCCCATTTTTCTGTATCAAGTACAACAAAAGAAGCTCCACCAAGATCATAGTCATCAGCCTCGTACACTACCTTATCAACTTTCAGCGCAACACCACCACCACACTTGATTGCAAAACTTGAATCTGCAATTGCAAAGATAAAACTTCTGGTGACAATTGTTATCTGAAATCCTACACCAAATATTTAGACAAAATTGATGGAGTACTTTTATTTGGTAACTTCAAGCAACTTAAACAGCTCATGATACATACATTTTACAAACATAGATATTGAAGGAGAGCTATCCTGTTGAAAGTTAAATGCCTATACATGGTTTCCCATTCTTTTATTTTATTTTATTTTTATATTTTATTGATACCCATGAATTCCTTGACCTTTCTCATGAGTTCATTGAGTTCAAAAGCAAAGACTACTGCAAAATCCTACAACTTTGCAGTTTAGAAACTTGTTTAAACTTTGCACTTTTGCTCAAAGTTAGGGGTCTTAGTCCCTCAACCACACCCTTAGGGTCCATACAGCTCAATTTTCTGACAAATGTCAATAATAAACTAATAAGGATTAAGTCAAAACGCTTATACTTGCATATCCATGACATTCAGATGGCTGGTAGGTTATTGAACCTCTCTCTCAATTAACACATTCACTCTATCACGAGCAAGAGCTTTGCCACAGCTTGTGAAATTTTCTTCAAACCTGTTTTACTAATCACAACTATCAACAGTTAAATCTAACAGCGGTTTCTAAGAATAGAGGAGCTGAAAGAGAATTTCAAATTTGTGTGCAACAGTCTAAAACAAGCTAAGCTCACTTCTTGCTCTTACCGAAAATTTTTGTTCTGACATTCAGAAGCAAGGTATTTCATGTAAAGCATCAAAGTGTAATACCAACATATAATAAGATAAGTTTAACTTTAGCTAGGAAAAGGACAAGGGTCCATTTATTACAACTGGAGCATAAGTAACAATACAATTTATAAAACCTCAGCAGCATCTATACTGAAGGAAACAACAGAGAAAGAAAAGAATAATGGCAGTACACTAAATTATAGAAAAAGAATTAAGCAGCAAAAAGAAGGCAGCTTACAGCGTGGAGCATTCCTATTGCAGGGGAAGTTTCTCTGAAGACAGTTCAATCCAGGGAGAATACTGGCATGCATAGAACATTACCAGTTATATTTGTTAAAGCAGCATATTGCTTTGTTGAGGTTTTATAATTCTTTTTCCTTTTTTTTTTTTTTTTTTTTAATTTTTAAGGAAGTGCATTTTTTTTCAAAAACCAAATCTGACATTTTATTTATCAAGAAAGGAACTATAACTCACCTGATATTTGAGCTATCAAATGTGAAATTGTTGCCCACTAGATTCCTGTGCAATTTGATGCAAAGATTAACTATACTTCAAAGTTTGAAGTATACTTGCTAGAGATGTATTATATTATATCTTAACTTGAGAAATAGTCAACTACATTTCGAAGACATTAGAAATGAGCTTTGCCTTTATGCTACCCCAACTGGTTATTCCAAGTGACATTTGTTTGGACATAGAAAATTATAAGTGCATCAAGGCAATTAGTAGTGTACTATTAACTATTTCTGATGATTGTCACATGATAATAGAAAACACGGTCTTAAAGTGACGTGTTGCCCATGAAGATAAGTGCCCAATAGATTCTCATACAATCATCTGCTTTTCTCTTGAATTGGCAAGATTGTTGTAAACTTTTATTATTGATTCCTTTGTATTATTATCTAAAATACTATAATCTATTAACAAAACAAGATAAGAGGATTCGAGTGAGCTCCACAATGCCTAAGCTCCAAAGCAAGGTGTGAATTCCAAAAAAAAAAAAAAAAGAAAAAAAAAAACAGATGGACAAAGAAATTATAATGGATCGAGAGACATACAGCTGTTGTAAACCTGTAGCCCACGAGGGCAAAGTTCCTGATAGATAATTGTAAGATAAATCTCTGCAGGAAATAGTATGATATGCACCAGTGAGTAGGAAACATATGCACATAAAACTGAAAAGGAACTATTCAGTTAAGATTTTCAATTGCTTTAATCAATTACTTGTCAAGAGAAAGTGGCTACACTATTGTTCAGATTTTTTAATGGGTTGGCCTAATTCCAAGTACATTTCTGTAGCAGTAGTGCCTTTTTCATTCTTCTACATTTTGCATGATGAAAGATTTTTTTTTCTTTTTTTCCTGTTAATCTATTCACTAAGTGTTTGGCACCAACAGCTATTCTAAATTGGAGCCTCTAAAAATTTCAAGGCAAATACAATAAAATAGACGTATAGCATCCATTTTACTGAACTTGATATAATAGGCATTATTTCTAAAGATAACTGAAATTAAGGCTTACATGCTCTGAAGATGTAGAGCTTTTTGTTGAGGAAGGATTCCTGACAGACTATTGTTTCCCAAAAACCTAGCCAGAGAAGCAACAAGCAAAAGAATGCAATATTGAATGTAAGAATAAGGCTTCGACAAACATTTAAAGTAAAAACCTAACTTAAATTTAAGTTCTCAAATCAAGAATTGATGGATTTGATGGAGAGAAGCTTCAATAAATTTACAAGTGAGTAAGAGAATCAATACTGAACAAAGCACTTGGGATTTGACCAATTAAGTTGTTGAAACTCAAATCCCTGCAAAAAGAGAGAAATTGATAAAAAAAACATAAAAAAGGAATACACACAACAAACAATAAGAGACACACCCATGGAAATACAATACTATCTTACAGAGTCTGTAAACTTTGATATTCTCCAATATCAGATGGAATGCTACCATAGATCAGAGAATTTCTTAGAGACCTACGGGGAAAAAAAAATGATTAGTGTCAAAATGAATTAGCTGAAAAGAAAATTAGAAACTAAAAAGTTAGATTTAATAGAATGGAGTACGTGTAACTTACAAAATAATTAAGTTCTTCATATTCTTTATGAAATCGAGCGATGAGCTCACATTGTTTATATCAGTGATTTGCCTACACAATTAATCCAAANAGACACACTCATGGCTATACAATCCTAACTTACAGAGTCTGTAAACTTTGATATTCTCCAATGTCAGATGGAATGCTACCATTGATTAGAGAATCTCTTAGAGATCTATGGGGGAAAAAAGATTGATCAGGGTCAAAATGAATCAGCTGAGAAGAAAATTAGAAACTAAAAAGTTAGATTTAATAGAATGGAGTATGTGTAACTTACAAAATAATTAAGTTCTTCATATTCTTTATGAAATCGAGCGATGAGCTCACATTGTTTATATCAGTGATTTGCCTGCACAATTAATCCAAACATCACTGATATGATACCGTGTCACGTTAATTTTTTAACCTAGTTTTAAGGGTAATATTATCTTAGTTATACCCACAATGTGGTCAATGAGGTCAAGTTAGAAAAACTGGCTGGTATAGGACCTTCAAAAGAGTTTCCCCCAAATTTCCTACAGAAAATTTGATAGACTAGTCAACAAGATAATCAAAATGCTTAAATCCAAACAAAACTAAAGAAAACTTTTGCTATCATTCACATATGACACATTTGAATATCTAGAAAGAAGTTTTTCATATATTACAACGTTGTAAGATTGGTCCAATTCCCAATGAAATCAGGTATTTTTCCTGTCAAAGAACAATCAAATGCCCACCTGAAATTTAAAAAATCACTCATTGTAAGCCAAATTCAGGCACAAGGTAATGTTCAAGCATAGTAGCAACAGAAAGCCATAAACATGTAGATAGGATATTTCTTACATAATTCGCATATTTCGAAGATTAGCAAATGTTGAGGGAATTTCCCCGCCCAGTCCAGAACTATCTATGTTACTGTTAAATTCACCAATAAAGAACTTCTTAATTCCATAAGACTGAATTTCTGATGTGAAAATTACTGTTGTGCTTAAAATATAAATAAAGAAAAATATATTAAACAAATAGTAAGAACCTACATTTGCTCCAGTTTGAATAAGTCACCCAGTTCAGGAGGGAGTGTTCCAGAGAAATTGTTGGACCCTAGAGCTCTGCATGGCATTTATCAGAAGAATATAACTCTTTTGTGGTTATTAGTTTTCATTAATTCATACATTTGTAAGAAAAGTATTCACAATTTTCCCATTATCAACATGGTTTTCAAGCATAATTTATGGATAAATGTAATTGCAAGTTATGTATAAGTACAATGGCTTCAACTGTGATTTTGAGTTTTCATAAACATAGTATGCAACGCATTGAATCATATGACACTTTTTTTTATCTTAAGACTTCCGTTTTTTCTTTTTATAGGTTAAAGAGTGTTTATGGTAATCAGTTTCAGAATAAAAACAATATGATCATCATACAGTCATCCCACTAAAAACTATACGTCATTGATGTAGGATAGAATTAAAAACGGAGAAAATGAGAGCAAGAAATAGATAGAATGAGAGAAAAATTGGAAACAAGGAGAAACTAAAGAGAAACAATATTTTATTCATCATATTGTTTCTTTCATTGGTCGACGTACCAAAGACAAGACAACAAGCCTATTTATAATGGCTTAAACAAAACAAAATGCTAGAAATCTACCTAAAATAAGTCATTCAAATTCTATTCAAAGTGGAAAATCTAATATAAAAAAATCTAAATCTAACTTAAAAAAGCAATGTCTCGAGGTTCCCAAAATAATCTCTTTCTTTAAGTAACGATATTATTTGTATTATTAATTCAGCATCAGCCACACTAAGCAATGGCATAGAATAAAAGAGAAGAATTTAAAGAAAAAGGACAAAGTTTGCCAATCTTACAGAAAAGTTAAGTCCTTAAGGTTTCCAAGCTCCTTCGGGAGAGGCCCAGAAAGTACGTTGTGGCCAACCTCTCTAGCACACAAAAGAAAAAATTATAACAAAATCAAATCTCATATACCAAAAATAATCAGACATAATCCAAACTAGGCTTTCAATCATAAGGGTATTTTTCAATACTTACAGATCCTTTAATTGAGATAAATTTCCAATAAATGCAGGCAAGGGACCAGTGAAGTAATTTCGTTTGATTCTACTGCAATGTTAAATAGAAAAACAAAATCCAATCAAATATAATGTCCATTAGTTAGAAAATGATGAAGGTAAAATTTGACTTATAAAAATCAAACGCAGGGAAATGAATGGGAAAACCTATACAAATTTGTCAGAAATTGCAAAACCACTAGTTCTTCTGGAATCACTCCTTTTATGTCCAGTGCAAATACACTCCTGCAAAAAATAAAGACAAGTTTCAGTCATATCTCCTCAAATTTGACATGATGACATATGCAAACTCTCTTGGCTTAGGAAAAATACACAATTAAAGGATGAATTGTATACACGACTTTAGGGAAAGTTTGAACCAAAAGTTAAGATCCATCTAAAGCATCAGAAATAATCTACATAGTATAGTATAAACAGTTCAAGTTATGAATAACTCAAAAATCAATGCCAATAACACAAAATTAACCGAAAACCTATTCTCAATTGAAGCAATATAATCTGTCTATACTGAAACAAAACTTGAAACAAGTTAATATGAAAATTTACAACTCAGTGATGTGGCAAGTTGAGCCATCTTCCAAGGAACAGTCACATTTGATAGCAGGATTATAGTCATCCAAGCTAGTTGCATTTATGGCGGCTCCACTGCAGGGCTCTCCACTTATGTTCCACCAACTTGGGTTTGCTTTTACATCCCATTGTTGAAATATTGAGTTCAACGCCCTCACTGCTCAAGAAGCATTCTAATTACTTAGAATTGAGAATGTAAGCAAGGTTGCAAGTAATCACAAATTTTCATAAAATCACTGATCTTTGAGGCCATGGGTATATCAGGAAGCATTCAAATTACTTAAGAATTGTGAATTTACCATCCGGGTTTATCGTACTTCAAGTAAAAGGTTAATAACAATAATTCCCCTTAGTCATAATTAATTAATTGTAATCCCCCTAGAGTTATAGTAATATAAATTTTCCTGTGTTTAAGTTTTTGGTTAAAAAAGAAACGAGAGGGCTAATTGGATAAATATTTATTAATTATTATACTATGTATTTCAACGGCATATTAACTGCTCGTAACAATAGGAAAATTCATTTTGAATTTTAGTTAGTCCACGCCCCTGTTGGTTTAAAATACTATTCTGCACATTCCCTCAGACCTCCCCTTAGAGCCGTTTGTTAGCAGAAATGTTTAACAAGGAAGACTAAATTTTATAATCACCCTTGAGTACACAACTCAATTCATACCAACAAAAGACCCCCATACTCAAGGACCTTAAGTGTTTGGGATTGGTGTAGCTTAAGAATAATTACTTAAATATTTCTTAAGCTATCAACTAAAAAGTGTGTAGCAAATCAATTTCAGATGTTGGATTTTATAATTTTTAGAATTCAAAAACTACTTTTAGCATGTTAATTACAAAAAAAAACCCATTTAAACTCTAATTATATTTAATTAAACTAATTAATATAATTTTATAAATTATTTCTCCTGCACAGCTTTTAAACAAACTAGAATATATTTTGCTAAATGGGGTTCACTTCAATCAGCTACTGATAAATTAGTAAAGTACAATACTTCTTAAACAATTGTATATTCAATAATTAAAACAAATAATTAATTTGTAAAATAAAATACACACATAAAAGAAAGGAAGAGAGAGAGTACCTTCATTGGGGTCAGTAATTTGAGCAGCGGAATTGTGAATGACGAAGAAAAAGAATAAGCAAAAGTGCGAAAATCCTGAAGGAAAAAGTAGAATTTTCACACTGGAATTCATGTTTGTGTGTTTACATGAGAATTTTAGAGAATTGTTTCCACTGGAATTATGTTGGCTTTTATATTAAAGCAAACGAATGGTACATGTCTAGTCCACTGTTAGCAAGAGACACGTGGCAGTAACCAGATCACTAACCGGATAATAATAATGCGGCTTGGCCATCTTGGGTTCCATGCCTTACATTTTCATTTTGCTCTTTCCCTCACCTTTGTTTTCACGACATGACTCTTCCACCGTTGACGTGTTTTCACCCGTTGGATTCAACTAAACTGTGGGGCCATCACTTTGGAGGTCTTGATAGGCTCTTTTTGTGATGATGATGACATCATCATCTTGGGTTAAATGAAATTTATCTTTTTAATTGTCTTCCATATAATTTATTTAATAATTAATTTTATTGGAATATATTATACTTATACTATAGGACATGAATAATTAACTCATTCAAGTAAATAAAAAGACTAGCTTTTGAATGAAAAAATTTAGATATAACAAAACTAAGTATGTGTAAGTTACAAAATAATTATAAGCTGTTCAAATTTTTTATGAAATCGAGAGACGAGCTCACCTTGTTTATATCAATCAATTCAAACATAACTAATATAATATGGTGTCACGTGAACTTTTAGAGTTAGTTTTTAGAGAGAAATATATCTAAGTTATACCTATAATATGGTTAATGAGGTCAAGTTAGAAAAACTGAATGGTAGAGGACCTTCAAAAGAGTTTCCTCCAAATTTCCTACAGAAAAAATTGATAGACTAGTTAATAACATAATCAAAATGCTTAATCCAGACAAAGGTAAAGAAAACTTTTGCCATCATTCACATTGTTATGCCTCAAAAGTCAAGCCTATGTCAGCACAATTAATGTCTCTTTGTACCAACTACCAAGCCCATATCTCCAAAGATATTCTCACCAACTTTATCTCATTTCAAAGAGATGAATGGACGAGAGCCTTCCATGTGTCAAGGCAGTTTGCAAAAGCTCTCATTGCATTGAGTGCAAAGGTGAATAAATGGATTTTTCTCTTCCCGAAGAAGGGAGGCTAGTGGCTGGGCTGAGATTTAATTTCATTTTCATTCTCTCTGTAAAAACACTGTATTTCTTCATCTTTGTATGCCTTACGGGCAAAATCATAGAAATAGTGAGAGATCAATAAAATAACAGTGGATGTAGGAGTCGCTTGTTGAGCATCCGAACCACTATAAAAACCCCCTCTTGCCATTCTTTTATTGATTTTTTCTGCAAAATATATAATCTCAGCCCCCATATTCAAATCTCATGGATCCATCACGTGTGTCTCCTGAGTCAGCTCAGCGTTTCCCACGTGCGAGTCGTTGGCGTCCAAAATCAAGCGTCAACACACATGACACATTTGAATATCATGAAATAAGTTTTCATACATAACATTATTGTAAGATTGGTCTAGTTCCCAATGGAATCAGCAATTTTTCCTGATAAAGAACAATCAATACCCACCTGAAATTTTACAAATCACTCATTGTAAGCCACATTCAAGCACAAGGTATTCTTTAAGCATAGTAGCAACAGAAAGCCATCAACATGTAGATGGGATCTTCCTTATATAATTCTCACATTTCAAAAATTAGCTCGTTTAGAACTATCTATGTTACGGTTAAATTCACCAATAAAAAGTTTCTTGATTTCATAAGATTGAATCTGTGATGTGAAAATTATAGTTTTACTTTAAAAGAAAAAAAAAAAAAACTAAACAAAAATATATTAAACAAAATGAATAACAACCTACATCTGCTTTAGTTTGACTAATTTACCCTGTTTAGGAGGGAGTATCCCGGAGAAATTATTGGAACCTAGTGGCCAAAGAATATAACTCTTCAGTAGTCATTACTTTTTCATAATTCATACATTTGTAAGATAAGTATTCATAATTTTCCCAAG